GTAACAGAAGCGGCAGAGCCTCCATTGACGAGGGACTGGCTTCTTGCCGCGTTCCTTCCATCGGCGGCGTTCCACAGCGAGACTGTGGCTGGAGAGGATCATTTTTGTCAAAGCTTTTCGGTGTTCCGGTTGCTTTGTCCTAAGGTAATGGCGGAAGTCGAGGGATTTCTTGACGAATCTGCCAGATTCTTTGTCTTTTTCGAGCCGGCCCACAAGAAGATCCCGGACTCGCACAGACGATTCGATTTGATCGTCAATCCACGATTCCATGGATTTAATGACGGCCTTCATGGTAAACTTCACGGTTTCAACGTTCATATTGACCGAAATGTCCAGCTCGACAGGGACATGGAGCCGAGAGAGGACGATCCATAGATCGTTGATCCAAGACATTTGGCTTGTGCGGGCCAATGCCAGTGACTGCTGCAGGGCATTCCACGCCGGTCTGTCATGGTCGAGTGCCAGCAGGTAACAGAGGTTCTTCAGCGCGAGATAAACTCTGCGGTATTTAATGGGCCATATCCCGGTCTCGGAGAATAGAACCGCCCGCGAGCTCCGAGAGCCAACACCCAGCATGCGCCGTAGGAATTTCAGTTGAACCCTTTCAAGCAATTTGAGACTCTTGGGGTCGACATCCAGGCACACGTCGCAGCCAGATATGAGGTAAGGATCCACCCGTGCCATGTATAATGTTCTGGCATCCCATGCTGGTAGGTGTCCAACAAAACGAGCGAGGCTAAGGATTACATTTGCGACTGTGGTAGCCTTTTTTGCTTTGACTTTATAGTGTTCCCGCCACAAGAATTTGGCCCCCGTTTCGAGCCATATCCCCAGGTAGCACGCTTTTTGTACTTGCTTGATGATGTTGCAACCAAGATAGAATGCGGGATAAGATTTCTGGCGCCGCCCGTGAATTTGATACATGCATTTAGTGATTGACGTTTCACAGCCATTATTATCTGCCCATGCCTGGGCTCCGTTCAGGTGGCTCTGGAACCCTGGTGGAGCTCCCGAGGCCGTTAAGATGTCGTCCGCATGCTCAACATGACAGATAGGTACCCCGTTTAATTTAATATCCTCCGGGTGGAACGCCAGAATGAAGTCGGACATGAAGAGATTCCAAAGGTGCGGCGAGCCCGGGTCGCCAGTCAAGATTCCGAGAAGCGACCTGAATGCGGGTGCGTATTGGCCATCCAGCCGGACCAGATATTTAATGCGGTCATAAAGAATCTTGAGCCATTCTATCATGGGTCCAGATATTCCCAACTTTGCGAGTTTCACCCAGAGAGTTGACCTGTCCGTCCCTGGGAAAGCATTTTTCAGGTCGAGGTATGCCACATAGAGAGGTTTATTGAGGGAATGTGCTGTATCAATGAGGCACAGGAGGACAAACACATTATCGTTTGTACGAAGCCCATCTTGGAACCCGTTTTGGGTGGAAGGGATGGCGCCGATATCGGTTGCGCCTTCTCGAATCCGCCGATCGATGATGAGTGTCAGCATCTTCAACATGCAGCATTCCAGGGCGATCAGGCGATAGCTTGCGGGGTCCGTCGCGTCTTTGTCTTTCTTTAAAATGCCAATCAACAGAGACATCAACCAGTAGCGCGGGACATCCTGATGCTTCAGACAATATAGGAAGAATTCCAGCAATTTCTCGTTGGGTATTGCCATACAGTCCTCATGCGAGAGTCCGTCGACCCCAGCAGCGGTGTCAATCCCATGAGCAAGTATATGCCGTTTCATTTCCTCAATCTCCTCAATTGTTATGTCGCGGGTATACGACTGGCGAGGAGATGAATCCGGAGGGGGGCGCAGGTTTTGAGCAATTCTGGCATTGAACGCGAGCTGATCAGCATTGAAAGATGCCGGTGCAACTTTTGGGGGATTTAGTCTGGCCTCGAAGTCGTCTGAGAGTTGTGTCATAGTGACTTTAGCTTTCTTTGGACGTGGATCGGTACGCTTGCGCACAAAGTCCCAGAATTCTTTCGGATTTTTGGTGGCTAAGAGTTCAGTTCTGAGCGCAAATTGCAGCGCATGGACTTTTGCTCGTCCGCGATGGCCCGTGTCGACATCTTTATCCGGTGTATCTTCTCCGGTTGACCATGGCTTGGGTTTGACTGGAGACGTCTCGGGCAGGGCAGTTGTAACTTTCCGGATACTACCCATCAAATGGTAGGAGTCTTCGCTTGGTACGGGAAGTGCGAAGCCGAGATCAGTGGTAGGGCTGAACAAGGTGTGAGGGCCAACGATGCGTACGGCATTCTTTGCCAGTGCATGCGCCTCCCGTTTTGCTGTGTTATTCTCGCGTGTATCGACGTGTACGAAGGAGGTTCGTGCATGCCGTGATGCCAGTATCTTCACAATCGCTTTAAACAGATCGCCATTTGACCCGGGCCAACCCAACGCTGTATTCTTCGCCGCCGAGAAACAGAGTTGGCGTATAATCATTTTTGACGTACAGAAAATGACCAGTGTCTTTTCGGCGGGGGCACACCGCACTGCTTCGTGGATGGCAAACAATCTGGCGCGGTCACTCGATAAACGTCCTGGGCCCGGAACACGCCGAGCGGTGTTTAAATCTGAACCTGGGCCAAAGAAAATTCCAGCCCCAGAAGGGCATGTCATATTGTTGCCTTTTGCTGCAACGCCTTCAACATAGATATGGACCGGAGCAGATTCACAGAGAACAGGGCCCCAGAGCGATTCTAGAGCTTCATCCTTTGTCTCCCTCGCATCCATTGTATCCTGATATAGTCGGTCGATATACTCACAGCCCCCAAAGTCTGGTGTCTCCTGGTGTTCGCGCAGGACAGTAGTATATTCGAATGCCTTTGCATCCAGAGTGATACAAATGCGCATATGATCAGCCCAATCGTCGTCCGGATCCTCAGTGGGCAGCTCGACGTGGAAGTCCCGAACCACGGGAAGTAGACTGTTGGAGACAAAACCGTAGTCGATCGTGGACTCGCCATTAGGCTGCCACGATGTAAGTCGACCCGGAGACGATCTTTCAAATGAAGTTCCGTTGAGTATGCTCAAATGGTAAGCGTCGCATTCTTGAAGGAACGCGCGGCCTCGTGTATTAATTTTTTCATCAGGATCAGCCGAGACGCGTTTCAAACGCTCGACCCATTCTAGTCCCGCAGACGAGGACTGGAGAGATCCGGTACGGGCATTGATATCTCCCAGGGAAGCCACGAGTTTGTCTTCAGATTGTGTGCATAGCGCCACAGTCTCCCAGAATTTTTGCCGGGGGTCGACATCAGTCCAGCCTTCCCAACGAGATGTTGCCGGAGGTATGTAGGCTCCAATGAGCCAGATTGAACCCATGTCGAGCACCAGGATATCAGGTGAGCTCAAATTGGACTTAACGAACTTGAGAGTATCGCGAATGATCAATGCGATGCCGCCACCGCGTCGCGAGTCATTCAACAGCGGTTTCCGGGGCAGAGAAATCAGACTGTAGCCGGCCGGTACATCTGCGGCGTCTTCTTCGCCCGGGAGCATGTCCGTCTCCGCGAAGAACATGATGTCGTATTCACGCAACAGGACATGGAAGTCCGGGTCGGTGAGCTTGAGAGTAAAGCTATGATAGATATTCCAGTACATCACTTTAACGTATGAATCACGGGCGTTGGCCAGAATTTCAGCCGTATCGACGACAGCTTCCGGGCGCGCACCATCCGAGCGGGTACGACGAGCGTAACTATCACGCGACGCACGAGCAGCAGGGGCAGACTGGCCGGTGTTCAAAGTGGATCCACGGCCGTTGTGCGGTCGGCTTCCCGTTGCAGTACTTCGAGCGTAGTCTTCGGCGACGCTATCCAAGATTTGGCGGTCATAGAGGCCCGTCGACGCAACCGGGGCCCGAGATGAGCAGCTTCGAGGGCGGAATTTATCCCACGCCTTCATCCGCAACGTCGCAAAGGAAGATGGTGGGGTGTTGCCAGCGAGAATGGAGACCCAGATAAATCCACGGGACGCGGCGGGTTTCCAGATAGGAAACCAACAAGCAGAGTAGACCACGAGAAAGAAAGCGAGCACAACGAGCAGAGGCGTTTGCACCGCGTCGGAACCGGGTGAGCCGAAAGAAGCGACGCGGAACACATCGGGTAACCACCCGAGAGATGGTCCGTGCGCGTGAGGGTCCGCTGGCACGCAAAATGCGATCGTCGCCAAAGTCCCCTCGACGGTGCGGGCGCTCCATGGCGCAGTTGCCGGCGCACAGTAATTCGGTCCGTGGGTGCATCCAGCTGCGACGATAGCGTCTCCGCGAACAGCGCATTCGGGCCCAGAAAGAGGGTCACATGATTGCGTGTGCACCTCGAAGCCCTCGCGTTTTGCGCGATCTTCAGGCATCTTGGCTCGACCAGCAGGGCGACGCGCTTCATAGGCCATGTGGCCGGCACTCTTGGGGAGTGCTGCGTGCAGCTGCGTGGGAGCAGGGGAGGAAACACGCGATTCCGCAGACAAATCCACAAGATCGCGATTTCCGCCAGAAAAGCCTTCTGAGGCTCGACTGCCAGGACACAGCGGGGCAGCAACCATCGGGTTGTCTCTATTCAGGAGGTCTGCGTGTCGCGGGGCAGGAGCGGGGTCCAGGGAGCCAGATCCAGAAATCGACATGGTGGTAAGTACCAGAGGAGTCCCCGCAGTCAAGGTGGCCGTTGTGCAAGGTTGTTTCCCGGGACGAACGAGTCGTATTTCCACGGGTTCTTTCTGTCGAATGGAGCCTTGTTGGGTGTCCCGCTTTCCAGAGATGCGCCTACACGCATCGAACCTTTAAGTTGAGGATGTGACGCGTGCATGAAATCCATGGTGGTCGTTGCAATCAGGAGACGGATGCCATGTGCGTCAGTCGTAGGAAATCAGCCAACACGAAGGAGTCCAAAAGGTATGATGCCCACAGGTAATAATATAATGACTGTGCTGCGAATGGAAAGATGGGACGACTCGACTCGTTCGCCATCAAAACAAAAAGGAGATTATGACTGTAGCTGCCCCTGCAAGGTTCGAACTTGCGATCTCACGATAAACTGCTCACTACATTGCTATAACAGTCGTGCGCCTTCACCAACTGGGCCAAGGGGCAGGTGCAATTAGCTCACATACGGGCGATCCCGTGTCATGAATTGAGCGACGACAAAAACTTGTATTCAAAGATGCTGTTGTCACGGTTGTCACTTTGTGCCTCATAGTGACATGAATCGTCTATCATCCACCAGCATTCCAGGGAAGGTCTAGCGCGGATCGACTGACTTGATGCTGGGTGAGTACTAAGTAGTCGGAGTTGATTGAATATTGACATGGTTCAACCTCACAGATAAGACAGGAGATGATACCGTGCCGAGCTCAGCCGAGGCCCGTCAGCAAGCCTTGTGTCTTGTGCTTATTTTTTCCGTCACTATCGGCATGTGCCCAGCAAGCAAGTGAGGGAGACAGCGAGGTTGAACATTGTCCACGTGACTATGGTTGAAATCCCGCTCACTTTTAATCCCGACGCTTGTAAAATCTCGAGGTACTAGGAAACAACCAATCATGCTGTAAAATGTGTTCGGTCAATCTTTGGTTGACAATGTTCAGGAGTAGAGATGCATAAGTAGATCAACGCCCGTGGTTCTCGAGAGTCTACGAGAACTATTTCCTGCTAGGTAATGGGTTGGAACTTGGCGGTTGTTGGAGGTTTAAAACCTGAAAATATTGCGAAAAACAGTGATTCTGCTTAAACATATTAACCGTGTTGAAAACCCAACAGTTTAGAACGTGGTTTAAAACTATACTCAAGAACCACCGCGCTAGCAAAAAAAAAACCTGCGGGTTGAATTTCAGAAAGCCGTCACGCGCTGCTGATTGGCCGTGAAGCCAGCCGAGGCCCGAGGCTTATGAGGCTGATGGTCATCACTGGTTTTGGCGACGGAGATCAACGGAATCGGGCGTGCCAACAACGTGCACCCACAACTTGCCCACAACCCACCACACGTCTCCGCGATGAACTCTTCCCTTCCACCCTACACGGCACCGGACTTGGATTTCGATCCCAACAACACGCATGCAATGTTCAAAAGCTTGTGCGAGGCGCGAAAGAGTGCGTTGAAGAACCCACTACGGTGCGGAAGCCAGTTTTCGCTTCCCTTGGAGATCCCCGCGCAAAATCCCGCTCCCGGTGCTCGTGGCATTCCCTTCCTTGGAGCAAATGTACCCACCACCGAGTCCGGTACCGCCCAAGTCCTTCTCGAGCTCCACGACGTTTTGCAGCCCGGCATTGGTGACTTCTCCCAAGTGTGGAGAGCCGTACCCGTCGGTGCACCTGGAACGAGCCTCGTCATGAAGATACTTCAGCCCTCGCTGTGTGAGTTTCCCCATCCGGACGAGGATTGGCTGGGCGACCACCATCGTCCGGAACATCTCGCGCGGCACGAAGCTTGGGTGTACCAGGCGTTCGCGAGCAAACAGGGCAGCTTGATTCCATACTTCTTCGGGCTTCATAGTGTAAGCAACCTCGTGCTTCCTTCCGGGTGTCTGCTAAGCTCGGTTCTTTGTTCAGATCGAAACCCCATCGAATGAGTGGGCATGGGTCCTTGTCCTTGAGTTCATCCCCGGTGATACGTTGGAAGCCGCCGCCGAACGGAAATCGTTCCCGCTCATCCAGGAGTTTGTGAGCCCGGCTCGTTCACTTCCACTAGAATCTTCCTCAACTAACCTAACAGTGTACCCTTGGCATCGAGTCCGTCAAAGAAATGGCACGTTGTTGCTGGCAACTCGCCGATCTGCAGAACCCTGCCAACTTCATCCTCACCGGCACCGCTGAAACAAGGAGGGTTGTGCTCATAGACCTGTTCGGCGGTTCACCTTGGACAGACCCCAATGTGGAAGTCCTCGCCATGCGGGACATCCGGCGATTCTACGAAACTCTGTGTGATGCTGTGTGTCGCTGGCATCCCTATTCCGAAATGGACAACTGGGTGATCCAGTCCCTGGAATCATACCGATACGTGACGGTCCCGATTTATGAATTACCAGGTTCGTAATCCATCTTGTCGACCGAAACTTGACAATCCTGCAAGAATTGACTGGTTTTATACACAGAATTCACATGATATGCGCTTGAGTTAGTTTCAATAGATTTTCTTTGCAGCTGGTAATCTATAACAAATGCGACAACTGCTGAGCAGTCCGAATTTCAGACTCTGCCAAAATAAAATAGTGAAGACCGCAAATCAGTTCTCCGCTTGCGTCGCGCACCAGCAGTTAGTGGCAAAAACTGGGTCGCCATGATCCTGATACGCGAGGGTGGAGCTGTATGAAAGCTGCGGTGCACTTCGGAGAAATGTGTTGTGAGACTTGCTAGTAGCGGATCTAGAATCAGCTGTAACATGAGGAAAACGGAGCATTGAGTCTCGCACGATGAACTGGGCACTTATACTGTCATAACAGTCGTGCGCCTTCACCAACTGGGCCAAGGGGCAGGTGGACTTAACCCGCATCCGAGCGGTCCAATGTCGAGAATTGTCATTGAGCAACGACAAAAACTTGTATTCAAACCAATTTCAAAGATGCTGTTGTCACGGTTGTCACTTTATGCCTCATAGTGACGTGAATCATCTATCATCCACCAGCATTCCAAGGAAGGTCTAGCGCGTATCGACTGACTTGATGCTGGGTGAGTACTAGTCGGAGTTGATTGAATATTGACATGGTTCAACCTCACAGACAAGACAGGAGATGATACCGTGCCGAGCTCAGCCGAGGCCCGTCAGCAAGCCTTGTGTCTTGGGCTTTTTTCCCGTCACTATCAGCATGTGCCCAGCAAGCAAGTGAGGGAGACAGCGAAGTCTTTTGAGGTTGAACATTGTCCACGTGACTATGGTTGAAATCCCGCTCACTTTTAATCCCGACGCTTGTAAAATCTCGAGGTACTAGGAAACAACCAATCATGCTGTAAAATGTGTTCGGTCAATCTTTGGTTGACAATGTTCAGGAGTAGAGATGCATAAGTAGATCAACGCCCGTGGTTCTCGAGAGTCTACGAGAACTATTTCCTGCTAGGTAATGGGTTGGAACTTGGCGGTTGTTGGAGGTTTAAAACCTGAAAATATTGCGAAAAACAGTGATTCTGCTTGAACCTGTTAACCGTGTTGAAAACCCAACAGTTTAGAACGTGGTTTAAAACTATACTCAAGAACCACCGCGCCAGCAAAAAAAAAACGGGTTGAATTTCAGAAAGCCGTCACGCGCTGCTGATTGGCCGTGCAGCCAGCCGAGGCCCGAGGCTTATGAGGCTGATGGTCATCACTGGTTTTGGCGACGGAGATCAACGGAATCGGGCGTGCCAACAACGTGCCAATTCGCACCCACAACCCACCACACGTCTCCGCGATGAACTCTTCCCTTCCACCCTACACGGCACCGGACTTGGATTTCGATCCCAACAACACGCATGCAATGTTCAAAAGCTTGTGCGAGGCGCGAAAGAGTGCGTTGAAGAACCCGCTACGGTGCGGAAGCCAGTTTTCGCTTCCCTTGAAAATCCCCAAGCAAAATCCCGCTCCCGGTGCTCGTGGCATTCCCTTCCTTGGAGCAAATGTACCCACCACCGAGTCCGGTACCGCCCAAGTCCTGCTCGAGCTTCACGACATTTTGCAGCCCGGCATTGGTGACTTCTCCCAAGTGTGGAGAGCCGTACCCGTGCTTAACGAAAGTCTCCGCCGGCGCATGATGTTCCCTTTCAGTAGCCCTTACCCACTCAACTCAGTTGCAAGCTTCGACAACACCGGGGCCATCCCAGAGTAAGACTTCATCATAGTCGGCGGTAATTATTGGCATCCGCTTTTGTCCAGGTACTGAGTCTGGTCCTGCATAGGTGGTACTGCAGGTTGTGTATTGGCCAGTCGTCTCAGTGAAGACCCTGCTGTCACAGTCCTCCTCCTTGAGCGGGGAGATGCTCGTACAGGTTGGGCTACGCGAGTGCCCCTGATGTCGACCAACTTCATGAGCGACGAGTCGGCTGCCTACCGTTGGCCAGCGGCTCTCCCTGTTGGCGACGCTCGGACTCTTTCCCTGGTCACCGGAAAAGGTCTTGGTGGTGGCTCTGCCATCAACAGCATGCAGTACACTCGTGGCTTTCCCAAGGAGTTCGATCTCTGGAGCGAGAGCGGCCGACGTGGTTGGAGTTATGCTGAAGTCGAGCCGTACTTCAAGCGATCGGAGAAGTTCGTCAACGGGGAGGGCGAACACCATGGCACGAAAGGTAATAGGGCGTTCAAGCGGTTTTCCTCGGTTGACCTAGCCTTTCAGGGGAATGGAATGTCCGGGATATGGGTGCACTATATTTTCCCACGGCGCGATGGTATGTGTGTGCATCACCAATTTGCGATATATCCTCACGGTCCTGTAGCTGCGTGGAGGCATGTACTGCTCTCGGTTTACCTTTTTCCAAAGACATCAATGATCCCTCCAACCCAACGACTCTGTGCGCAAAGCTTGACTGCACTATCGATTCCCACAGTCAACGCAGCTCGACATTCACCGCATTCCTGCCCAAAGAATTAGTGGACAAGAGGAGGTCGCATCTGCACATATGCACGGGAGCAGCTGTGTCGGCTCTTGATATAGAACTGGATTCGGATGGACAGCAATCTATTCACGGAGTTGTTTTCCAAGCTAACGAGCCAGGATCGAAGCTATTGCGCGCAAGGGCGAAAAGAGAAGTCATTATGTGTGCAGGGGCCATTGCAACACCCCAGATCTTGCTCCAGAGGTACTTCACGGTTTGTATTCATAAAGCAAGGTTATTTAATTGCCGTCCCAGTGGAATTGGTCCGAGAGAAAACGTCCAGAAACCTCTGAAGAAAGAGCTTTCCGGTGTGGGCCAGAATCTAGTGAGCTCTTGGTTCTTCTGCTGGGCCACTTCTAATTCATCCTTCGCAGCAAGACCACATGGCAATTGGAATCATGTACAGTGTTCCGACCGACCAGTCGCTGCACATTGTTCAGAGCAGCCGTCTGAGGGCTATGCTCGAGCTTTTCCGCTATATCGCTTTCGGCGACGGTCTTTTCCTATCGCCTGTGACCCAGCTGTCCATACTTGTGGAC